TGATGGTTCAGAGGGGTAAAATGATACAGTTTTTTCTTCTTGATTTATTCCTATGAAAAAGAAAATTTAATAGATATAATAGAGGTAAATATATATATATATATATATATATATATATATATATATATATATCATATATAAAATTTTTCTGTAATGTATGTAAAAATACTCCTCCTAAACGATTATTTGGATTTTGATAAATCTTTCTGAAGTTTGTTAAGGGTTTTTTTAGGATGTATGTGATTATAAAATTATAGTAATATTGTAGAAATAAATGGACAAAATTGCAAAAAACAACATGTCATTGTTTGATATTGAAAATATTTGAGACATTGTTTGGCATTGAAAACAAATGAAAACTATTAACTGCTAAAAATTTCAATTTACTTATGAGTCTAGACAATATTAGAATATGTATAATAAATTCATGATTGTGAATAAGAAAAATGAATGTCTACATTATTATTGCCGAAAAGTAGCTGAGATGTGTCAGAGATTAAAATAATATAAATACAGTCAACAGTATATGTTTGCCAGATGAAATTATATAATTTAGTTTAATAAATAACACAATACGTCCAAAATTGCATATACATTATTTTTTTAAAGTTATGCATGTTGTATTTTGCTTTTCTTTACTAAATTATTTAAAAACTAAAAAAAATATTTCTACTTATTGAAAAAATGATTTAGAATTTTGATACATGTGTCAATTCATTTGTTTGGCATTGCATATGAAATATTAAGCAAGTTCATGATCTTAGATTGAACTATGCCATATGAACTAAATTTTACAAATTAATTCACCTAAGATTTTAACTAAAGTAATAATGTTGAATTTACAACCTTTATCACTTACCAGATAATGCAGGAAATGCAGCATAATATTTATTGGCCAGTTCGACAGGATTTTCACAGCGTTTAGCATTATTTTCTGTTGAGTTTGCTTGTTGAAAATCTTTTTCGGGAGATTGTTCGTTTTCGATCTCGCGAAGCTTTGCACAAAGCTCATCAACTAAGCTTTCAATTCCAGCCTTCTGTTAAGCAAGTAATTCTAAATCAAAACAATAGTATGTTTTTGTGATACTTTGAATTGTGTTCTGTCCATTGTGTGAAAGAGGATAATAATGTCTTATATACAATTTTATATATAAATGTTCATAATTAAAGAAATTTCCATGTTAGATGCAAAAATTATGCAGACAGGAATAAAAAAACTGATAATAGTTCACATTCTGAATTATAATGTGATGTAATTGTAAGTATATAAATGTCAGTCAATTTATAAACTAATCTAAATTATTCACCTGTTCAGAAGCTGATTTGAGACATTCTACAGCAGCGTAGCGTTTAGCTTGTTCAGAAGTCCACAGACCGTGATTTGTTTCAAACCACAAGCAATCTTCCTCTACAACTTGTGTGCTTTTCCTATTCTTCTTATTCTAAATAAAAGAGAAATACGTTAATGAAAATATTCAAGCAATATTAATTAACAATAAACAAATTTAATTTGAAGTAACAAGTTAGCATAATAAAATAGTCAAATTAGTGTTATATTTAGGTAAGGATGCTGTTAAATATAAAAAAATATAATCAATTAATTACCTCAATAGCACTAGTTGCCTCTCGTAGATCTCTTGGGTTGAATTCGACTGGTGCATGTAGAAGAGACAGCACAAGTCTAGCGTAGACTCGGCCGTCTAAACCGTGTGAATCAAGTTCAGTGGATAACCAGCCTCCGATGCCAGACACTGTCCGGCCAGATACCAGCTGCGGGTACTTCATAACAGGCTACAAACACAACATGCATAAAAAAATATGTGCTATGAAAAAAACACACATGCACACTTACACACTTCAAGCATTTAATTTAAATAAAAAATGTGTGGGCTCTCTTAGGAATGTTAATGTGATTGTAGTTATAGTTTTTTTTATAAATAATACTTATAGCCAATTAAATAAGTCTAAACAATTCTGCCTTAAAATTTGAAGTTTAGTAAATGACAGCGCATAGTAATTTTGATGATTACTTTTAATAAATCACAACGTAAAGAAATCTACAGCACTAAATGAATTAATTATAAAATCTCTTACCTCAACATAGGTTGTCCATTCAGGATTACAAATGCAAATTTGATGTGTTCACGAGCATTATAATAAGCAGTTTGTCAATTGTTTTATTTTGCTTAAAAAATATTTCTTATACAAGATCAAATTGCACAATTAAATATATTATAATATATACGATTAAATTGGTTATGCAAATAAGCTTCTAATTTTACTTTTAAATTTACTTTGACACAATAGTATAATTAAGAACTACAGCAATGTTACTATTGCTAAGAATAACTTAAAAATATTATAATATGATTTCAGATAAAATTGATGTTTTGGTAAATTATAAGTATTACTTTAAAATTGAATAAAACATTTTAAAATGATCTTAATTGGTAACCGTAAAGGTTGACAATTATTCTGCTTCAAAACATAATGCTCTTTACTTCATTTCTGAAGCGGGTGAATCGTATCCATTCATTTCCATTGCAGGACTGAAAAAAACGACACAGATAATTAAAATTATTATTTCATAACACATGACTACAAATCACAAAATTTATTATATATTCAATCAAAAGGGTATAGACCTTAAACAAAATTTTTATTACAAAATTTGCTGCAACATTTATATTAATTACAGCTTTGCTTGATAACACAAAGCTCCATCGAATGGAATGTTAGAAGTATTCATAATATTGATTTATTATTCAAGCCACCATCAACAAAACATTTATAAGGTTATTTAAAATATATAAGTGTATAAATACAGTACAGTTCAAACTGACAAGAGACAATGAAAACATAATTTGAAATTATTCAAACATGATACATTTAGATAAAAACATTATTTTAGATAAAACGTACAGCAATCAGGAGATATTAATTGTTATATTAAAGTTTTTCATATTTTTTTTCTTTGAAAAATTAGCACTTCTTTCTTAGAAAGGAAAAGCGAATGACTGGCAAAAATTATTATAAAACGTCATCCATACATACATCTCATCACCAGTTATCTCCAGTAAACAAAAATTTTCGAAATCGATCTCAAAAATAAATAGACTTATCACTGGGCTCATCATAAAATGAATCACTTGAATTGACTCATTGTCGAAAATGTACACAAACAAAGAAATTTCAATATCTCCGTGGTGCGCAATAAACAAACGACTTATTGTCAAATACGCTGTATTTTATTCTATAACGCAGTTCAACTAGACTGGCTTAAGAAAGTGCAATGCTAAAAACTTATAAATAACTCACGATTCACTTGAAAATCACAACACATACCCGTAAAACGCATCGAGATATATTGGACACCAATAAACAATGCAAAATTCGAATAACCTTGTTGATTTTGTCAATCGTTTCGAACGGACACCTAAGATTGCGCCATATAGGCAGTTTATTGCATATGCGAATGTAACATCTTTCGAAAGGTGCACGGCGGTGAAAAATATCCTTGTCGTATAGATAATGGCAGAAGAAACGTTTCGAATGTCAATTAAAGCGTATTCAACTCACCTGAATGAATTGGGTGATGTAAAACACCCCATGCAGTCTACAAGACCTGAGACACAAAAAACATGGCCGCTACGTATTTTGTACCAGCTCACGCGATTGCAGTCAACTACGACAGGCAGTGTGAAGTGCGCCGCTTGCAATCAATAACCCACAAGGCGGGATTCGGGCACATTTGGACTGTCAGTCAATACATATCGAAAATGAGATCGCACCAAGTCCGGGGAGCTGAGTTTAATTATGCATTTGCACTACTATTCACTTATGACTACTTTAAATGCAAAATCTAAATGAAACATCACAATAAACACATAAAAACAATTAAATCAACACACAACACCACAAGTAACGCTTTACAACAATGGCGTTCGCACTAAAAAGGATCGGCAACCTGTTGGAACGAAAAATCGACACTCGACATCGGCGAGTGGCGGCGGAGAGCACGATCGAAAAGGAGAGGAGAAATACAAATATATGAAAAACGATTCCAATATTTGTGGTAAACGCTCAGACAAGAATAAATTCTTAAAATACATATATTTTATTCTACGCTCTGTTTCAGAAGAGCTACACAGGGTTCCAATCGTTCCAATACTCTTTCTTTAATTAAAATTAGCAATATTACAAGTAAATTACTGAATTAATTGCACTTACTAACGTTTTTTATTCAGTCTCTTCTTATTAAAATTCGCGATGAGTATCAAACTATCTTCTAATATCTATAGAAATATTTCATTTTAAGATTTATCTACAAAGGACAATTAAAAAGTAAATTTTAATAAAAATATATTTATCTGATCGTTTATAAATCTACAACTTCCAGTTTTACATACATATCATTCCTAAAATTAATTAAAATATCATTATTTTGCAATATTCTTTTACTGATTGTGATAAATTTAAATACTGATAAAATATACGCCTTGCAAAAACATTCATTTATTATATTTGCAGATAGATAAGAGAACATAAAACATAGATAAGAATGTATTAGCAGTATTGTAAGTTGTAAGAATCATTATCTTGAAATGTTTCTTTAATTTAGTACAAGACGTATAAGTAAATAACACGTAATAAGAAATCAAAACATTGCATTTAAATGTTGACTATTGCAGTTCAATTGACGTAATGCATAAATTCCTGAAACACAAAAGTTGTTTAAATATAAACATTTATACAAGTCCCATTATTGACTGCGTTCGATTAGTGATAATGGAACTCAACATCAAGCCATTGTAATATAAGCGGTTAAGATAAATATTTAATTCGATCTAATCAGAATAAGGAAATAAATTATAACTAGAAAGAGAAGTCACTTTCATTTTTGCCATTACTTTTATTTCATTTCTCTAAGTTGATCACCTTGAAGGTTGTCAATAAGTAGTTTCAGTTTTTCATACACAGATGACACTGACCTTCGCCAAGGAAAACTGTCAGAAAAACGATACAGGGTCATAAATTTCTAGGTTATGAATGTTTTTAAATGTAGAGATAATAAACAAACATTAAACGGGGATTGTTTTAATCGTTATCAATAGTTTAATGATTAACGGTGATTTGTAGATAAAGCTAATGATAATCAATATATGACTTTTTATATCATTTGCGTTTGTTTTATATATCAACATGCATTGAATTTGAATGGTTGATCACATTCACAAGAATCAAGAAAAATGGAGAGAACATCTAATGAGTACCCCATTTGTCTTCAGCCTGAGCTGTTAGATAGGGATACAATTATACAAGTTTTGACTGAGGTATTGTAATAGTAAATTGCTGTACTGTAGAATATGCTCATACGGGTTAAGACTTGTAATGTAATTTATAGACTCATTATTTAATATATTATATATTCATAATCATATTCTTGATAGGTTTCCGAAAAAAAATCAAATATGTATCAGGAAGTCTATATTGTATGTGTTTAAGGGGTTACGCTCATTGAGTATCAATACTTTCAAATCGGATTTCTTTAGCTATCGTAAAGTACATAAGTGCATCTGCAGTGCACCTTAAATTCTATGTGCCTTGCAAAAATGACTTTGGTTCTGAATATATATTAAATAACTTCAATATTAATTTCATTCCCTCTCCTTCCACCTCAAAAATTACAAAGAAACACCAATTATTTATTATTCTACTACAAAGATGCAATAAATAAAATATTTATGATCTATAATAAGGATATCCCTTTTAATTGAATTTTAATTTAATATCTTCAATATCTTCTGCTATTTTCTTTAGAGGCAGTTAAAACTGAAAAATCTAAATTCCTTATCAAGAGAAGAATTGATAGTCATATACAAATCATATGTCCTACCATTGCCGCAAAGAACTAAATCAAATGCAGAAACTAGTCACAAGCATGATAATGCAAATGATAATAATCACGTAACAAAGAAACTAAAAGTAGACCATTTTGAAAGTAATAATAAAGAATCGAGAAAACGTAATGGCCATGGTCTCAGTGAAGTGAGTAATAATATTCATAAATATATAATAATAATGCTGGTAATATATTCTTCCTTATTAATAAGTAAAACTACTCATTTGTTCAGCAAATGTTTAAATATGGTATGATCTTCACTCTGGAAACTATTTTTTGGTTGTTTATGACAAAATATTCATGATATCTTTTCTTACAGGGTGATGTTACAAACATAAAACGCAAACGTCAGAAAATAACTTGGCCTTAAATTACTTAACTAGTTATATTGAAAGTATAGCTTAAGGTTGTTTTTACATATTGTAAGTTAGTCATATGATCTGTCTAACAGAGTATTTTAAATTTTTACGGGTATTGCAAGATCGCTTACCACATTTATTAAGGTGTTGCAATTAAACATGCATTAAACGTAAAATAGGAATAAGAATGTTAAAAGTTTTATAAACTGCTGTATATGAATATATATGAATATATATGAAGTCACAATTTAAAACCCTTATTGTGTTAAAAGATAAAACGAGATTACTGAAATTAATTTTAAACTGAAGGTTTGTGAAGGGTTTTAAGGTATATATATATATATATATATATATATATATATATATCCATTCTATATACCGTTTGTAATTTTAAATATGTATTTTTAGATTATATTTAAGTATCTCTATTATTACATTGGCTGTAATATTTTTACACAGATAATATATATCAAGTCAACTGTAACGATATAGCTTTTATTCCAGATTTGCATTTTTACAATATCTCAATGTTAACAATATACATAGAATAATCTCCTTTCGTATCATAAATTTTCAACATTTAATATATCATCTATATTCAGACATTTAACGGATGATGTATATATATATTTATTTTTTTGCTATATACATTTACATTTAAAACCTTTTTGATAATAATTTATCACATCCAACATACTGAAAATAATTTTATGACGGTAATGTAAAGGAGAATATTGTAATGGATATAGGAACAGAATTATTATTTTTTTTGAACACAAGCTTGAAGCGTTAGGAATATATTGCATTTTTCTGTGAATATTATTTCTAATCAAAATAACAGGTGGAGATTATTTCATTACTGTATTATAATTTCAGGCTTTTAAAAATCTAACGATGTGAACAAGAGTTAATCAAAATATTATCAAGCTGCTCAAAAAACTGTATAATCAATATTGTATAATAAAGTGCCTAAACTTTATGTTACAAATATTTTTTAATCAATTTATTTTTATCAACTCATCACAAAAAGCGTTTGCTTAAAATAATCACTGGATTTTTTGTAATTGTTAGCTAAATTGTTCCTCATGTGGAATGTTATTTTTTTTAAATTTTATATCTTAAATTAGCAGACTATTTGTAAGTGGTATTTTATTATAAAACTACATTATACACATAAATGTATCACAAACAAATTTATGGTAAGACGAAAGTAACTTTAAAACACTTTAAAGAATGATTAGAGTGCATGTATGGCTAATATTATATCTAATGTGGTTTCGAAAATAATAAAATAGCAAATTATTTTTATTATTAGGGTAATTCATAATTTGATTAAAAGAATTTTTACTTTAATTACAACTGGATTATTTACTTCTCTAAAATCATTGAAAATATATTTATTTATAATTGGTTGGGATAAATGTGTTCTAGATTGGTTTGATAACGTTCTATATAGTATGAAAACGTCCTAGATCATTCTTAAAAAGTTCTGGATAATCTAAAAATGTCTTACGTAATCCGAAAATTTTCTGGATAGTCTGAAAATATTCTAGATTATCCTAAAAATGTTCTGGATTAGCCTGAAAATATTCTGGTCTACGTAACCATGTTGTAGATTAGTCTGAAAATGTTTTGACTAGATAAATCTGAAAATTTTCTAGATTAGTCAAAATATTTTAAATTATTCTCAAAACGTTCTAGATTAGTCTTAAAATGTTTTGAATAGTCTGAAAACATTCTGGTCAGTCTGAAATTGTTCCAGATTAGTCTAAAAATTTTCTAGACTAATCTAAAAATGTTCTAGATAGACAGAAAATAATCTGGATTAGCCTGAAAATATTCTGGTCAGTCTAAACATGTTTTAGATAAGTCTGAAATTATTCTAGATTATTCTCAAAATGTTCTGTCTGGACATTCAAAAAATGTTCTGAATAATCTAAAAATATTCTAGAATATCCTGAAGATTTTTAGATTAGCCTGAAAATATTTAGTTAGACCAAAAATATTCAGAGTAGTATGAAAACGTTTTAGATTTGTCTGAAAATATTCTGGATTATTCTCAAAATGCTCTGGATAGTCAGAAAATTTTCTAGATAGTCTAAAAATATTCTAGATTATTCTAAGGATGTTCTAGACCGGCCTGAAAATATTTTGGTTAGACTGAAAATATATTCTGAGTAGTCTAAAAATGTTTTAGATTATCCTGATAATATTTTCCATTAGTTCTATTTAAAAATATAGTAATTTTCCAAAAGCTATATTACTTTTTTTTCTAATTTAGACTAGAATAATAAATCCTTTTAACCAAAACAAAAACTGAATCGAATTACCCTAATGTTTAAATAAATAGGCAACATGAGTAATTATTAGGTCAAAAGACAACTATGTACAAAAGGATCAATTTAGTCCAAAACTTACAATCATCGTCAATCTGACTAAACACAAAATCTGGTCAAATTATTGACGATGATTAAATTGTTTTGAACTTTAATTGATTCCATTGTATACACTGCCTTGATTACTAAAATTAATAAATACATCTATAAAAAGAGCACACGAGTGACTTTCACCATCGGGATATCAGATCATGAGTAACATTTCATTTTCTTTGTAAAATTATTTTTCGTGAATCGTAAATTTGTGTTATCAATAAAATCATTACATAATTGGCAAGATAAGCATTGGCAATAATAGTATTCATAAGAATTGGCAAATAAATATAGAATATATTTATATATCAATAAAAATTAAAAAATAAAATATAATGATTCAATTTAATATCTGATATAATTTATCCTTTCACATTTAAATTGTCGCAATTGTTTTCTAATTGTTGATATCCAGAAAGTATCTCGAGTGCTCCTGTTTAAAACGAAAGAGTATTATCGGATAACTTAGCATAAAACTTAATTACTTTCAATTATGGATATATGCCCATGGAACGCTATATACAAGTTAATACATATACATGACTTTTATATAATAAGTTCTAGGAAGGCTCATGGAACATGTTCAATACTTTTTTGTAATTATTTTTTCGAGGTGGCTGCCACCGAATCTAAACTTATATCACACTGGTTTTGTATAACACCGATCATTAACTAATAGTTATAAAAAGAAATATGTAATGTAAACTTAATACCCCGCTGTTAGTCTGAAAACGTTCTAGATAGTCTAAAAATATTCTAGATAAGTGCAAAATATTCTAGATAAGTGTAAAAATATTTTGGACTAGTCTGAAAATATTCTGGTCAGTCTGAAGATGTCCTGGCCAGTATGAAGATGTCCTGGTCAGTCTTACGATATCCTGATCAGTCTGAAGATGTTCTAGATTAGTCTGAAAATGTTCTAGATTAATCCAAAAAATGTTCTGAACTATCTAAAATATTTTCAGACCATCCAGATTATTTTCAGTTTATCTCGAACATTTTTTGACTATTTAGGATATGTTAGAATAATCTAGAACATTTTCAGACTACTTAGAATATTTTCAGCCTGACAAGAATATTTTCAGGCTTATCTAGAATCTTTTCAGATAAATCTAGATTATTTTTAGACTATCTAGAATATTTTCAAATTAATATGATATTTTCAGTATAGAAATATTCTGGTCAGCCTAAAAATGTTCTAGATTAGTCTCAAAATGTTCTGGTCAGTTTGAACAAGTATTTAATGGTCAATAGTTTGAGAATTTTCTGGTCAATCTGAAAATATTCTGGATTAATCTGAAAATGTTCCGGTCACTCTGAAAATAATCTGGATTGATCTAAGAATGTTCTAGATAGTCTGAAAATTTCCTGGTCAGTCTGAAAATGTTTTGAATTAGTCTGAAAATATTCTAGATTAGTCTGAAGATGTTCTAGATTAATCTGAAGATGTTCTAGATTAATCTGAAGATGTTCTAGATTAGTCTGAAAACGTTCTGGTTAATCTGAAAATGTCCTTGATTAGACTGAGAATGTTCTGGTCGGTCTAAAAATGTTCTGGACTAGTCTCAAAATAATCTGATCAGTCTAAAAATGTTCTAGGCTACTCTGAAAATGTTCTGGATTAGTCTAGGTATGTTGTTGAAAGTCTGAAAATGTTCTGGTCAGTCTAATAATGTTCTGGATTAGTCTGAAAATGTTCTTGTTAGTCTGAAGATGTTCTGAACTAGTCCGAAAAAGTTCTATATTAGTCTAAAGATGTTCTGACCGGTCTAAAAATGTACTGGATTAGTCTGCAGATGTTCTGGACTAATCTGAAATTGTTCTGATCAGTCCGAAAAAATTCTGGTTAGTCTGAAAATGTTCTGGATTAGTCTAAGTATGTTCTTGAAAGTCTGAAAATGTTCTGGCTAGTCTAAAACTGTTCTAGATTAGTCTGAAAACATTCTTAATTTAGAGTTTAATAAACTAGCAGATTTTGCACTTAAGGTCAAAAAAGGATCTAAAAATACTAGTCTTAATCATTTGTTTTCAATTCAATCATTATTTGTTTAAATTAAATAAAATGGTAAGGCGATAAAAAGGCAGATCTATAAAATAATAAAAATTAGTCATAAACCCAAATTTTTCGCAACTACTATCCATTACCATTAGTTAATGATCGGTAAACGTTGGCCACAATGGTCGCGTCTGGTCAGTTTCCGCATTAGACCGGTGTCTCGTGGTCTGTTTCCTCTATACGACCCAGGCGCCACGCGTTCGGGTCGGTCGCTGCTGAAACCATCACAACGGCACATATTAAAATAATAGAAATTGAGTAAAATTGAAAAAAAAATAGTAAAAAAGTGATTGAGAAATTTATAGAGTGAAATTCAAATGCAAGTGATTTGATATGATTGAATAAAATGTTTTTTGTTGGTGATTGAATTTACAGGCAAAACGCGCACTGATAATGGTGATATGGGCGAATTGTGATATAGAATGGCAATTTATATGACAATTTTAGTATTCTACCACATCATTTGGCAGAGCTTTCACACGTAAAATGTGCGTGATCAATTTTTTTAAACTTAACTTAAATACTTTTTACAGTTAATTTACAAATTGAAACACATGTTTGCCTCGACAAAAGGCTTCGAGTTTAAATCAAAAGTGAAAAATTACGTGGAGAATCTTAAAAATTCAGATTTTGAAAGGTTACACAAATGAACTATACTATACTAATATAATGAAATATACTAATCTATAATTTTTACTATCTAATAATCTAATAATCTAATTTACTAGTTTTTTTATATCTGCTTGGAAATACTCTACAAGAGGCATATTCTATTTCTAGCTGTCATGCACACATATGACATCATATATACAATGCTTAAATTATATCTAAATTTTGTAATTATTTAAAACACTAAATTATAATAATTCTTCGAACTTTAAAAAAATAGGCTGATTTGATGATATATAGGGGCCAATTCTGTCAAGGCAATTTTAAGCTACATTTTTCATATAAAATGGTACTAAAAACGGTCAAAATGCTATGTGGTTGCTGTGCGATCAGTTTATTTGATACTGCAATGATATAAAGGGTACTCGGATCGAATCCCGGTCGTGTACTAGCATACAAAAATAAATTGATATCGACTCCAATAAATTGATAAAGACTTAAAAAACAGTGCTTAAAAATTAAGAAATGAGAAAAAATGAAAAGTATTGTAAATGGCCAAATGTAATAGTTTACAAAACCACTAATAATAAAAATAATAATAACAAAATCCCCGTACGATGATATTTTTGATCTATACTTAGGTGAAAATAGATATCACTACCGCTTGATATCGAATTGTCGTAAGTAGAATAATAAAATAAATAAAAATCTACAAACTACAGGGGCCAATTCTCGAACAAAATAAGAATGTTATGTTACGGGTCTATATTCGTATGAATTGATAGTAAAACCTAACTTCACGTATGTGTTATCAAATAGATGCACTTTTGATAAATTCGTTTGTAGGTTAGGTTTTATGTGTAAAACGCCTGATCGCACAGCAAATAAATAGCTTTTTGGCAGTTCGTTACTTCCAATTCATACGAATATAGACCCGTAATATAACATTACCACAACATCTATTTTATCCGTATTATTCACTAGCACTATCATTATCCATATCCATATGATAATATGCATATTATCAATATCTAAATTAAATTGTGTTTTAAATAATTACTGTACCCATTATGTGCCGTCAAGTCCCTTTCAGAAAACAAAAAAATCAACAAAAAAATATGATTTTATATTAATTGATGCAAATGAATATGATTTTCTCGAAGAAAATAAACTTGAGAATAAATATTCATTTGACTTACCGCTATAATAATATTTAGTGATCCGTGGTAGAGCTAATTGTAAGCACAGGGACAGAAAAAAATATTTTTCATATTTTGCGACATTGCGTCCAAATAATTCGTTTACAATGGTAAGCAAATAACATACATAATTGTTTATCAAATTGATATCATTATGTACTTATATACGATGATAAAGAAGAATTCAAAAGTTGCCAAAAGGACTTGCACAAATTTCCATTGAGAATCTCAAAAAAACAACATGCAAAAAAGTATTAAAAATGTACCACTCACCTTGTGTTAGTAGAAAGCTTATAATTAGCGCTTAATATAATTATATAATGTATATTACTTTTTTGCTAGTATTCATTAATTAAAGCATTAATAATTAAAGCATTTGCTTAATAATTGAGCAATTTTTTTTATAAATCGACTAATAGTAATGAATTTTGTCAATGATTTGAGCCCCACATTAAAACTGAGCATTCTGATTACTATTGAATAAATATCTTAGAAATCAGTCATCGATATACAAGTTTAAACTATGAATATCTACGACTATTAGAAATAATCCCTCCTATCATTAGCATTGTTGTATTTTATATGAGCACTAGTATTGAGCATTTCATTAACATTTATCAAACGTTAAATTTGAAAAAGTGTATATGTATATTGTATATATAAAGGCGAGTCAAATTATATTAGTACCTCAACCTTCACCCATTACCACACTCCTGAACATTAGAGATAAAATAAAGACATACATTTTGTCGTTAAATCTTTCAACCAATTTAGGACCAATATCCTCGATCGTTATCCTTGTCGAATGCTTCGAAAGTTGAGGTCCTGTCGCAATCGTCCAGAGTCAGATTCAGATTCTGATTTGGATTCACAGTCAGTCTCACAAGCGGGCTCGTTGGACAAAGTCTACTTAGCAAGGGGGCATGCTCTTCTAAATACGAGACGGAGATGAATAGAAAACAAAACGATAACAGACACATGACATGACATGACATGATGGCAAGGCACTTAATTAACAAGACAGGACAAAGACATATCACATTATAGTAAGACATACACATGTTCAAGCATTAAGGTTACACTATGAGAGTCGAAAGTAATAAAAAATATTCACCATTTTAATTCAGTTTTGACATTTATTTTCTCAATAAAACACCTACCGATGAAAGACCCCCATAAATGTTAAATATTGTCTTTCTAATTTGCAATGACTCGTTATTGTAAACTGTATATAATTCTTGATTTGATTAGTTTCAACTCGCTTACTATTTGTCTTTCAACTCCCATATGACACGAGTCATTATTCTAATAATATTTTATAGCTAAGTATTATGTTATCAATATTAAATTTATCTACTATCAGTTAGCATATTAATCGTCTAATACTAATGCATACACAATGTAGAATATAATTATCAATATTTCAACTTAAATTTTTAGAATAAGAATTCTTGTACTTGTGAATGTGAAATATATTTATTTTACTCGCTGCTTGTAAAGATCAATATATGATATTCATTATCTACATTGCTTCATCAATCTATAACTATCATTTAATAAGAACTTACTTTGCTTCAAAACAACAACCAAAATTTAGGAGAAACAGAAAATTCAAAACATAACGGACATTAACAAAACTTCACATAACTTCATGCTGGACAAATGCATCATATGACAATAAAAACCGTTTTCATATTCAAATTTCAAATTTAATTACAAATATAATTATAAAAATATTAAAAATCGGTTATTTTAATTGATAATGTGTAAAAATAAAAAATCCGTTGTGTAGAAAATTTGTGTCAATATTAATTTTAAAAAACTGAGACCAAAAATCTTTGGTTAATATAAAAAAATTCTATATTTCCTAAAAAAAATGCAAAGTGTGGTAACTCCCATTTATAATTTTATAAAAATAAAATTTATTCTTAAATATTATATAATTTTAAAACACAATAAAAAATATCAATACAAGTAAAAATACAAACATGGCAAAAAATGCATTTACTATTTCTGTAGGGTCAATGAGCGAACAATTATGCATATTGTAAGATAGCTTGCTAACGCTTATCCATTCTCAATTAACTGCTTTCATGATGCCAAACAGTCTCGAAACATTATATTTATTATGCAATACTAAAAGCTGGTACTAGTTAGATAAATTTTACATCATTCAAGCCGTCTTAAGCATCTAATCTTCTCACAACATTCATTAATGCATAGATGATGTACTTTTTCCATCAGTCAGACACTCAATCTTCAATTCACTCCAGTTACGATTCTCTTCAATATTTTTACTAACCTTGTAGTTGTCTGTTGATCAGAGCAGTAATACCGTGACCGTCACCATTTTTCTTTAAAATTAGCATTGGCTTGTCTTCGGATTGGTCATCAAAATTGTTCGGAATATAACCATTGCTTACAGCCATGGTTTCGCTCACCTAGAAAAAAAGTTTGTGTAAATTAAAGTTATTTAAAACTTGTACAAATTGAATTGTAGTTTCTTAAATAAGTTTCGATTGTATAATTTAAATATGTCTAGATTTTAAACTTAAACTCCCATGTCGCAGAGAAAATTCTGGTCCCTGTTATATTTGATAATAAATTAATAACTAGTTCTTAAGTAAATAAAACAATGTATGCATGAATAAATTAAATGAAAAAAAAAATGAAACCTAAAATTTTCGTACATTTTTGTGACTTTTCTTTGAAGTTTTGGTCTTGAGTGAAGAACTCGACTGACTGGCATGCCAGTTTTCCATCGATTGGCAGTTCTACAGAAAATGCATAAAAATAATATAATAAAATAATAGAAAGAAATAAAAAAAATTGATTGAGTGTTTCTTTTAATCATACTAGATCATTTGACACAGAATTAAAAAAAAATATGAATGAAATTTTATCTTAGTTATGAGTAATTTGATATTAAATATTAAAATTAAAACATTTGTTTTATTCCATACCTGCATTAGTTTTTTGACAACATCTCTACCCAATATATGATCAAAAACTGCTTGCAGAAACTGATCCGTGATGATAGTTAATCTCAACTTATCTCTATGCCAGATCAATACTCGAGATTCCTCCATTGACATTATTGACACCTGAATAAATACCCATACAAAAAATTTAATACATGAAATAATAATAGTATATGATAAACTTACAATATATTATTAAGAATATTGGAAAGACAAGTAGATTTAATTCACCTGAAAATATTCATCAGTCGATACACCAAACCATTCTGGCGAGTCCAGGAACTGGTGCGGAAAAACAATGTGCAGGGCGCGTTGATTCTGGGATACGACCAATCTGAAAACGATCAACGAAAAAAAAATTTGGTCACATATGTAACATAATATTTGATAATACTACATTTGGTCAAAAATAATAATTAATAAAAATAAATTAATAATAATTATTTGACCTAAGAAAATAACTATTAATTATTTTTTTAAATTTTAAATAGACGTCATTAGTAATTAATAATGTGAGATCGTAGGAAGTACACTTGTGCAAAGTTATAACTTTACTTTAAATTGATTGTCAATGTATTCTGCTAATTGAATTTAAATTAAAGGACTCACTTTCCAGATAATACAAGAGAGAGGCTGTCGACTTTGGTGACCTTCTCCTGAGCGTACACCTCCTGATATTTGAGCGACCTGATCAATTTCATGCAGCCTAAAACTTTTTTGAATTGGTGTCTTGTTACCTTTAGGGGCTTGAACAGGGCTTGGTATACCTGAATAAAAGAAAAATAAGGAAATTAATACAAATTACTAATAATTATATTTGAAAGTGATGGAAAAGGAGTTATCATCCAAGCATCAATTATAAAGTATCAAAAATTTTAGCCTGATGAATAAAAAAGAATGTAAATATAAAATATCCTTATTCAAGTTACTATTCAATACATGAAGTTACAATGCCAAAACAAACAGTCTTCTTATAACATTGATTTTTTATCTTGGCAAGAGTTCAGCTTTCAGATCAAATAAAATTCCATATGCATATGCATTGATCTCTTCCTCAAGATGACCTCTGTACTTTGTAAAATGTCGTGAACTTTAATTGTGAAAAGGTCAACATATGTCACATAATGTTTTCAAGCATATCGTATTTCAATTAAGCCACCTACGAGACGAACACAATGAATTAATATGTATCCCCAATCGGAAGACCATCTTTGTGTCTGTGAGAAGATAGTAATTGTATGGGGGCACACGTGCGTGAGATATAATAAAGGACAGATTTAATTGCTACTAACGGCAGTAATTAATACTGGACTTAATTCATATTATTAAAAACGACACATTGATAATCCCACAACGATAACAAATGTTTCTATTAAAAACTGATATTTACATAAGCGAGCTATAAAAACAAGTACCCTACAAAATAGTACGATCCCCCATGTTTTTTTTTTTGCTGGAATATATAAAAAATGTGTTTACTAAAAATCGACCGGGTTCAAAAAAGAAACAAACAGTGCAGCACCTGCTGCAAATGGGGCGCTCCGAGTTGTTTTATTTTATGTCTTTGTTTTCCTTCAGGCGGAACTCCGCTCGCGCGTAGAACACGTGTTCGGGGAAAAACAAATCGTAAAAAGTAGATGTGAAGGAAATAGATTTTACTATTATAAGTGCATTAATATAAATCATAATAGTTATTTCTTGGCTGCTGATTGATGGGACACATTTAGTTCTCGAAATGTAAAATATAAAAAAAATATTTTAAATATATAGATGTATATTCTTAGTCTTACCTCTTCTAATTCACCACTAAAACGCTTCGGCCTTAATGCCCTGCACAGGGCAAAGGCCACATGAGCACCATTGACTGCGGCCAAAGCTGCAGCCCACAGCAGGGCGTCCGGTCTGCACGATTGCTCGCGACGACGTCTGCAAAATAATAAACATATTAATATCAATTTAGAATATTTATTAGGTATATCAATATTTACCCGTTGTCCGTCCGCCCCTGGTACTCGAAACGATCACCATCCTCTCGATGGCGGTGATGAAAACCTTCAGGAGTCGTCGATTGCTGGTAATGCGAAAGCGGTAAAGTGTGACGACTGCTGGTCGTTGTTTCCTGGTGACGTTTGGACAATATACTGCTGCAGAAGTAAATGACAAGTTGATTTTATTTCTTGGCACTTGCAATATTATTAAATATAAATTTACCTTTTATGAAACGTCATGTATTCATCACCTCGCAGCGCCCATGCTGATAGGGCTACGGAACTCGAAATCATCATAAATCTCAACCACAAGCACCCGCGAGATCCTCTTGCGGGGGCGCAACTGGCTAGCACCAAAAGAAGAAAAGTTACCTGAAATAGAAAATATTTTAATACACTTAGTAAAAAAAAGAACTATTCTGTTCTGGCACATCTAATGATCTATTCTTCTTCACCTGAAAGTAAACATGCTGCGGCGGTCGCCAAGAATCGCAAGTAGTCGAAGCAAACTTCCACCAAGGCTTAACTTCGTCCTTGATGACGTCGTCTATGGTCACGTCTCTCCTGGTTACATCATCAGCAATCAGTTCTCCGCCTGAATTTGTAGCATCACCACTCGCCACGTCTGGTGTGGAACCACTTGTGTCCAGAGCGGCCGAAGATGAAACAAGACCTCGACCAACCACTTCATCTGGAGGAATAGACAAATTAGTATAAAGTTTAGAATAGTTTTGCACAATTATTGAAGACAGACCTTCGCTTGAGACGACTTCGCCGCTTCTACTTTCAATACTTTGGCGAATTTCTTCAGACTTTAGTTCTTTAGATCTTCGTTGACCACCTGGATGCCCATTTCGATGGTGACCGGGATTTAAACTAAAAAATAATAGAAATTGTTATAATACGTCTTAAGGCAAGTTGCATAAAATTCTCGAAAAATATAGTGATCAAGATGACCCAGAAAAAAAAAATTTTTTATTGATTATCGATTCAGAAGTTTTTGCAAATTCAGAAGTTGGCTTTTTTCATTTAAGAGGGTATTTTAGTATAGAATTTCAATAAAATTGGATTTTTTTTTTGTTTCATATTTTCAAAGTTTGAATATTTAAGAATATGGGTACGAGAAGATTTTTGAAAATTTGATTTATTTTTGGAGATATAAGCATTTTACTGGCTAGTTTTGGCAGGGTCTAATCGGACAAAAGGCATAAGAAAGTCATTAGATCAATTTATGACAGTTTATCGTCAAATGAACTATTATTTCGATGTTTAGGTTCAGAAACTCAGAACAATAATGAGTCTCTAAACTCGTTGATTTGAATTTTCGCGCCGAAGCATATTCATTCCCGATCTCTGGTAATTGAAATAGCAACATTTATTGCTGTTTGCCTATTCAATAAAGGTTTCTTTTCGATTTTAAGAATGATGACCCTTATGGTAATGCAAATTGGGCCTAAAACTCATTCATTTGCTGTAAGGCGAGACAATGCCCGGATTGAACGATCTGAAATACATCCAACGCTTCAAAGAAGGCTCAAAGAAGGCTAGAACTGCTCGATTGAAAGAGAGATATGCAGAAGATAGTTTTTTTTTAAGTAGAAGAACGTCCGATACATAAAGCAGGAATGGCAGGTAAAATAAAATAAGTATAACATATCATTTTATGACTTTGACCGCAAAAAACTTCATGCAAAACTTCAAATGCGTTTTTCTCAGAACAGACTTTTTCAGTACTGTTGACACGATTTCTCAAGTTCTACTCGACCGATTCACTTGAAATGTTCAGAGAAGTTCTTGTTTATAGACCTATCTATAGCCTGAACTAAGATTATCCCCAAATTCCAATTTTTACTATTTTTAAAAAAATCGAGATACCTACTCAAAAAATAGTAAAAAAGACA